GGCGCAGCGGCACCCGCCCCGGGTCCTCGCCCCGCTGGCCGCTCCCGCTGCGCCGTCGGGGCGGAGGCAGTCAGATGGACTGACGCGAAAAGCTCAGGCTTTGGAGGGAGACTAACACGTGATAGCGCCATTCGTCTAGCGCTGAGCGTGTGCCAGAGTCACGCGTTATCTCACTGAATTGTATCTAACCCTTTTACAGATGAGGAACCTGAAGCTCAGAAAGCTTAAGAAACCTGTCCAAGGACCCAGTGCTGGAAGATAGCATCCCGGCACTTCCAATCTTATTCACCCATCTTAACCTATTATCATGAATTTGGCCTAATCCTAATCAAGCCCCGCACTGAAAGACCAGCTTTAAGCTAGACCCCCAAATCCTCATAAATATCCCACTTTTCACCTCCTCCTTCCTTGACTCTATTTAAGATTGTGAGGTAGGGGTCTTTACCGTAGTGAACAATACATTTGAGTTTACTTTTAACAGGTTTTTAAAAATATTTTCAGGGAACCAGCATTTGAGACCAGAAATATGAAGCTTTAATTTCCCTTCTCAGATAAAAAAAAAAAAAAAAGGAAAGAAAAAGGAAGAGATGTGAAAGTGAAAGGGGAAGGGACAAGGGAGAGAAAGGGGAAGGAAGCGGGTAATGGAAGAAAAGGAAAGAAAAAACACATTTTACCTATGAAGCTTAATTTTAGGTGTGATATCTACCTGAGGGCTCTTGCTATCCTCTATGGCAACAGGCTCACTCTACAAGGCATTTCTAAATATCACAAGAAAGTGGAATATGGCAGAAAAGCAGCCACCTACGTGGGTTTCAGATGAGTAGGATTCTCATCCTGGCTCTGCCAAAATGTTGGCAGCATGAATTACAGGCTCTAACGAATGGGCATATCATCTGCCAACCTGAATGTAAGGTTCAAACAAGACAATGGGAGTGAAAACCCACTAAGAGTTACACCCCTGGAAGTCTGGGAAGAGCAGGCAAAGTGTTGTAAGTCATAAAAGGGCAAGCAGTGTCTGAATTTTCACAGGACAGAAGATGGAGCTGAAAACTACAGGCCGGTGAACTTCATGACCTAGCTGAAATTCTTCGTGACCAGTTTAAAAAGGACAAGATAGCACCAGATTTACAGTTTCTTTTTAAGAAATCAGGAATACCAGGTAGGAGGATGCTGCAGACATAGCAAATGCAGATTTCAACAGGGCATTTGACAATTCATATCATAGACAAGAAAGTGAAACATAGGCTGGATGATAGCATTGAGGCTTGTTAAAGACCAGCCCCAGAGGGGGCTGATGAGCAGGGACCACCAAAGGAGGCTGCTAGGGGCCTGCCCCAATCTCCCACCCTGGCCCAACCAATTCAGGGTGCCATCAGTGACTTGGATGAGAATGCAGCAGCACACTCATAGAAGTTGTGGATGACCTGAAGCAGGAAGGGAGGCCTAATATACTGGATGACAAACTGAGTACAGACTAAATCTAACAAGATGAAAATTTAACAGGGACTACTAAGGTCCTGTAGTGGGGTTTAAAATAAATGCATAAGATAGGAATTAATGAGACAGATTATAATTTTTAATTATATTAACTGTAATTAGAGTTGGTCATGTAGAATGCCAAGATGCAGCTTAGGTAAGGTCCATAAAACCTGTTTGGGCCTAGCAAAGAAGCTGATCTCCTAGTCTGCCAGTCAGGCCACATTTCTTTCTGGACACAGTTTATAAACAAAGAGGTGTCCAGTAGTCAGTGACTGAGCTCATAAGGGGACATGACACTGTTCTGCTGAAGCATGAAGTAGCTGGGGCTCATCAGCATGAAGGACAAAGGATGTAGAGGGAAAACAAAGTGATAGACAACTATCTTCAACTCTCTCAAGGGCTGGCATGAGGAACAGAGTTTCAACTTTTGTGGTTGTGCAGAAGGTGCTCCAGGAAGGCCCATTTCATTTTAGCATAAGGAAGAACTGACCATCAATTATCACTCTGTGAATACTAAATTCCAGGTTTCTGTGGATATACGCAAAATTAAAGACAGCCAGTAATGTCCAGATTGTCGTACAGCAGTTCATGCCTCTGGCAGGGAACTATAACTAAAGTCAGTTCCAACTTGAAGGGTCTGTCATTAAAATCATTTTTTTCCCTGTTGATTTGGCTAGGTCTGAATTCCTAAAGCCATACAGCCCTCTAATACGTCATCATTCTTTGGCTTTCCTTTTGATGCGTCTTCATTTATTTTATTACCAAATATCTCCACTTGAGGGAAAAAAGCAGCTCATGTTACCCAAAAGTTAGCCAAGGGTTTAGGATAAAATTTCAAGAAGGTTTCAGAAGGCAGTATAGGTTATTTTAATTTTTTTTATTTTTATTTTTTCCCCCCAAAGCCCCAGTAGATAGTTGTATGTCATAGTTGCACAGCCTTCTAGTTGCTGTATGTGGAACGCACCCTCAGTGTGGCCGGAGAAGCGGTGCATCGGTGCGCGCCCGGGATCCGAACCCCGGGCCGCCAGCAGCATAGCGCAAGCACTTAACCGCTAAGCCATGGGGCAGGCCCAGTATAGGTTATTTTATTTTATTTTATTTTATTTTATTTTATTTTATTTTTTTTAAAGATTTTATTTATTTAATTTTTCCCCCCAAAGCCCCAGTAGATAGTTGTATGTCATAGCTGCACATCCTTCTAGTTGCTGTATGTGGGACTCGGCCTCAGGATGGACGGAGAAGTGGTGCCTCGATGCGCACCCGGGATCCGAACCCGGGCCACCAGCCTTGCAGCGCGCGCACTTAACCACCAAGCCACAGGACCGGCCCGAGGTTATTTTAAATATAGTTTCACTGACTGACACAAAACAGTGTCTAAGCTACAGTATGTCATACTCTTGGGGATGCTTCTGTGAGCAGTGTTTGATTTTTCTGTTACTACGTAATAATTTCCAATCAATAAACGAACTGTTACCTAAGACCCATTTAAAGTGGAAAAATGTTTAAATCATATCAGAACAATGGTAAGAGATAACTTCTGATTATCCAAGCTAATAAGGCTGAGGATTATCTAAGTCATAAGACAAAATGTTTTCCCCTTTGACCTAAAACAACTTTCATATATATTGAGAAATACAAATCAAAATAACCGAGCAGATTATTTAAATCATCTCCATAGTGCTTAGGAAATAGACAGATAATGGACTAAATTCATTCACACTTTAAATGCTGCAAGGAATTTTCCTAATTGTAAATTATTCTTTTGCCTAAAGGAAATTTTGTTTTGTTTTTTTTGTGAGGAAGATTAGCCCTGAGCTAACATCTGTTGCCAATCCTCCTCTTTTTGCTGAGGAAGATTGGCCCTGCGCTAACATCTGTGCCCATCTTCCTCTACTTTATATGGGACGCCGCCACAGCATGGTTTGACAAGTGGTGCATTGGTCCACGCCCGGGATCCAAACCTGTGAACCCCAGGCCACCGAAGCAGAGCGCACGAACTTAACCACTAGGCCACCGGGCTGGCCCCAAATTTTGGATTTAAATAGAAAATTTTCTACTTATTGACCCTCTGGAATTTTCATCGTGTATCAGAAAATAAGAAATTTAATAAAAATTCTGCTTTATCTAAGAAATAGGCATGATCTGAAAAGGTCAAAGAATACATACTTAGAAGGAAATACTCTTTGGGAGTGAAGAATCTACTAGAATGACATGAAACAGTGAGCTAATGGGTACAGAAGCGCAGCTGAGCATTCAGGCTCTGATACTTGATCACTTTGCCACAGCAACAGCATTTTAAGTACAATGGAAGTTGCAACAGCATCCTTTGGGGATCATGATGGAATATAAAAAGAGTAAGAAAAACAGAAAATTGAGATCTAATAGTTTGGTTTTCCACTAGAAGAAAACTAACTTAAAAGCAAACAATAAAAAATTGTTTTAAACTTTTAAAAAGCAAAAGCAAATAAACATACACCAAAAAGAAGTGAACCTGACCGTACAATTCAGGAGTATTCAAAGCAACTGCACAATTAGCCTTTATATGAGGAAACAATTTAATTAACAAAATGTCAACCATTGATTTAGTGTGTGGGAACCTCACTTGAATAGCTTGGGAAACTATTCTATCTTGCTAAGTTCTAGGGAGGGACTTTCACTGTGTAGGAATACTAAAATTCAAATGTCTCACATAGTATTCATTGCAATGTAATATCAAATAATGTTTAAAGGCTCATAATTTTTTTTCTCTGACCTATGTTCTTTGAGCTTAAGGAAAAATAAAAGCATATTTCTGAACAAATGTTTGACCTCATAAAGGAATTTTGTCTTACTAATTTATACATTGAAAACATACGTGTTTTATAAATTATTTTAATAATTTGATGAGCTACAGCATCACAAAAAGTAGTTAATTAAAGCAGTATCCCTGTTTCCACATTCCCTGTCTCATGAGAGTTTAGAAGAATATTTTAAATTTTGTATCTTCAAGGCATTGTATTTTAAGAGTTCAAACTAAAAACTGACAAGTCTTCCAATCAAGGAGCTGCACACTTGGGGCGTTTGATCAGCTTATGGTATTTGTGAGCAAGGTCCACAGCCTTCCGTCCTTGCTGAAAGGGGAAAGACCACAAAATTAAATTCCAGTGATTTCCCATTTTCTTAACTCCATTGAAAAGGTAATTTACTTCTTCTTTAGTAAAGTTTTTACGAATTCTTCTTTTTTCTGTAATTAACGAGAATTGTAGAATATATTAGTACTTACTGAAAAAGGGATCTTCTTGAGACCCAAATAAGTGCTTAACTTATTCTAAGGATATGAACTATACAGTGAGAAAACCTCACACCTGGGTTACTTATCATATAGAAATCTACTTCATTTTTAAAAATTGAGTGCCTACTATTAAGCTAGATGCTATCACTGTGACTTCTTCAATAATTGTAACTTAATCCTATTGCAATAATACTTGCAACATCTTTCAATCAAGAAACACAAGTTTTTAAACATTTGAATTTTAATTCTCTCAACATTCCTGTGAGGACAGTTAATAAACAGCTTACCTATCTTATAGATACAGTCTTCCCAAAGGGCTCCATAACTTCATAGAATAGAAAAGAATATCAACACTTGTTACTTTAATTATCAGGCTTGATTAATATTTTTAAAGAATAAGGGTCTTTTGAAATACACGTTCACTACCTATATAGGTGCTCAGCTTGATTAAAACTCAAAAAAAAAATAGGCTGCACAAGAAGGAAGGAAGTTTTTAACTATCTGGTTTTTAGGGATACTTTCTACAACAGAAAGGATGCACAGTTGGTATCTGTAAACATAAATATCTTCTGGTGATGATTACTAGGAAATAGTTTTCTTTTAAGCTTTTTCATTCATCATTAATTCATGCTACCATTGTAGATAGATGCGGATAAGGAGGAGTTTTTTGTATTTCCACTTAAGGCTGCTATTTACTTTAGTAGGACCTGGAATAGTTGTGCTGGGACACCCTTAGAAAATCTTGCCCTTGCAGGTCAAGACTGTTAGCCATTTGTCCACCTCTCCTAGGACAGGAGCCACAGTTCAGATCTTTTAAAACAGAAGAGAAAATCTTGCCAGCAGAAGGCTGAGAAATGAATGAAAATAATGTCTGATTATAACTTAATGGTATTACTTAGAATGCAAGCTCCATGAAGACAGGAATTTTTGTCTGTTTTGCTCACCATTGGATCCCCAGTGCCTAAAACAGTGTCTGACACATAGTAGGTGATCAATAAATATTTGTTGAAAGAAAAAATCTTATTATCTATAAAAACTGTTTCAAAACTTAACAATGAAGTTACTCCTTACTTTTGGGTCTACTGGAAAACTCTGGTTATCCAAGAAATAGATTATTTCAATTTCACTTGTGAAATGATTTGAATTCATTATAGTCAGGACTGGATGTATTATTATAACATTCAGAATATTGGGGTCCTGGAATTATTCATGTATGGCCAATCCATACTTTTCCATTGCAGCTGTCATCTCATTGACTCTGACACTTAATATCTGTGTCCAGTTCCTTAACTGTAGCAGAGTAGTGGGCAGCCTAGAAGGAGGAAGCAGCTCTCTACACCACAAGGCTCCCCTCTGGCTTCTTTAGTGCTCCTCCGAATATTGATTGGCGGTTAGGAAAGGGCAGGGAAAAATAGGTAAGAAGGCTCAGTTCTAGAGACTCTTATTTTTCAAACCCTCTCAAGATACCAATCTATCTTAAAAGAGACCCTTGTCCTCAAGGCTCTTTAAATACTTAGACGCCGCAATGGTTGCTTCTCAAAAGAATAGTCTCAAATTTGAGTGTAACCTGTAACCAAATGAATGGTGATGAATGTCTCTAATACAAAAGGGAAATTTATCAAGAGGGAAAAAAATGGCTATATATCAAATATCCCTGGCCTGCTTGTGAAAGAGATATAAGACCAATCTAATCACTACCTCCTCAAGATGCCTTTCTAAATTCTAAAAAAGCGGGCCAAATTATTAACTATTTGATTTTAGCTAAAGCAATTCTAACCTACAAAAAAAGATGTATTTATAAGCTGAATGTCACTTAGTATTTAGGATGCCTCTGTATAATCAATGTGTAACCATAATTATGTACATCTCAGGAGGCTCTGCAAATGACTTTACTATGTAAAATGATTATAGAATATTTTTAGTTGTTATATATTTGCTTTTAAGATACGTTAATAAGGGGCTGGCCCGGTGGCACAAGCGGTTAAGTGCGCGCACTCCGCTTCGGCAGCCCAGGGTTCACGGGTTCGGGTCCCGGGCGCGCACTGACGCACGGCTTGTCAAGCCATGCTGTGGCGGCGTCCCATATAAAGTAGAGGAAGATGGGCAGGGATGTTAGCTCAGGGCCAATCTTCCTCAAGAAAAAAGGGGAGGATTGGCATCAGATGTTAGCTCAAGGCTAGTCCTCCTCTCAAAAAAAGAAAAAGACATGTTACTGAAAAAAATCTATTATTAATTTGATGCCACTCCTTGTCAAAAATAAGATTTCCAAGTGCAACATGTTTCCATGGAAAAATATCCATTTTCTAACAGTTTCTACAGAAAATATTACTTCAAAAGTGGGCTACCCTATAGTAGTACTGTACTTAATTTTAATTTGCATGCAGAACTTTTTTTTTTTTTTTTTTGCTGAGGAAGATTGGCCCTGGGCTAACATCCGTGCCCATCTTCCTCTACTTTATATGGGATGCTGCACAGCATGGCCTGACAAGCAGTGGTGCGTCGGTGAGTGCCCAGGATCTGAACCCAGGAACCCTGGGCCGCCAAAGCAGAGCACGTGCACTTAACCACTATGCCACCGGGCAGGCCCCTGCATGCAGAACTTTTAACCTAGAAAAAGATCCAGATATAACAAGTAAATTTGAAATTTCTTTCAAGGTTTTAGCAGTGAAAATGGTCAAATAAAACTATGTGGCAAAATGTTTCCTGGATGTACCAAGTCCAAATGCTTTTGCAATAAACAGAATGGCTCTATAGATGATACTCATTTCCAGGTTACTTTGACAAGTAATGTACTCAACTGCTTATTCTTACTCACAGGTACTAATTCCATATGAATGGAAGAAAATGGTACTGTTCTTTAAGTCTCTGTGATAAATTTGCAATGGTGATAAACCTGAAATGTTAACCCTGTAGTTAAATAAAAATTCCCATATATTAACTAATCATTTAAGAAGTATTTTGATTTTTAAGCAGGGTTTTCAGGTTTATACTATTTGTCTCTGCAATTTTGATTGTTTGAAGTGCTAGTTATGAAATCAAAATCTTCTGCAAAATCTCTCTGAAGCACTTGTGCATAGGAATAATTTTGCTCTTAAAATAGAAATGTGATCCAGAGGATAGAACAGGGGCTTCTGGAGAAAGACAGGTTTGCATTTGAATCTAAGTTCTGCCATTTGCCTTAAATTGGGAATAAAATAATACCTACCTTACAATGTTATTATAAGAACTAAAGGAAACAACATCCATAAAACACCTAACACATAGTATATGCTTAATAAATGTTAGTTTCCTCCTGCTCCTTCCCCAACCGGCAAGCAATGGATGAGCAAGCAACACGAGGAAGGGAAGAGGGAAGCCTCTTTTCTTAGGAAGTATGACCCTCATCAGAACCAAGTGTTATCATTTAAGAGCCATTAATGATGAGACTGAGAAGGATCATTCAGCTGTTCTTTCTCAGGAATATATGAAACTTAGGTTTATTTAAAAATTAAATATATTCACTTATTCCTCCAGGGGTAGTAGATTCATTACTGAGTTGTCGTTTTCTACGTGGGGTCAGCAGAATTTCTGAAAAATATGGAAAACATTTAGCATATTTAGAATATCAATCTGAGTAATGGCACATCAATTCCATTGGTGTGATATTTCCTTTTTTCCCCCTTCTAATAGGAATTCTTAGGTGGATTAGGAAAAATTTTTAAACCACCAGAAACTAAATCTACTCGCTGGGTACACCTTAAAGCACTGGTTGCTCAGTGACAGATTTTCTTTTCAATATTATTTTACCCTCTAGGTTTTAACATACTTAATGTTCTAGATCATAGTTCAGAAGGTCTAGTCATAATTACAGTTTTAAAATTACTTTTGTTAGAGATAAGTGATTTCCTTAGTTCACTTTTATATCTGTCTTCAGCTTCCACAATGACTTTGTGACGATCACATTGGTATGGGCAAGAGTGCAAGAGCCTGCTAAAATTTCGGCTATTCAGAGATTTTCCTACTGCTATGCAACCTAAAAGAAAACAAATCAAAGTGATGTATAGATGTTACAAAATATCTAACAACATATCTATGAAAACAAATATATTTATGATGGTAACTGAAGTGAAATCAGGAACTTAATTATAAATACATCAAGAAGCTCATAGTCATGTGAGAGAGTAAAGACAACAAATACAACACAGTGAAGTAAGTGTTGCAATAAAGGCATGAACAGAGTTATGGTGATATAGAAAAGGAGCATCTAGTCTGGTCTGGTTCTGAGCAGGAGCCACTGTTAGGGAAGATATCCAAAAGAAGTGATCTTATGTTCAGTCGTCTTTCTTTTTCCCCCCAGTGTTTTATTATGGAAAATTTCAAAAACACAAGAGTAAAGGGAAAAGTATGATGAACCTCCATGTATCTATCACCCAGCTTCAACAATTATTAACTCATAGCCAATCATATTTTATCTATACCCCACCTACTCTGCTCTGCCCACCATGTACACACTGGATCATGAAGCCTGGAATTTACATTAAAGTATCATTTCATCTGTAAATACTTTGTATGCATCCCTAAAAGATAAGGACTCTTTTTTCAAAACACAAAACCATTATCACACCTAAGAAAATCATGCTTAATATAATCTAATATCCACTCAGTGTTCAAATTTCCCTATTATTTTAAAACTTTCTTTTCCCAGTTGGTTTGTTTGAATCATGATCCAAACAAGGTCTACCATTACATTCAGTTGATATGTCTCTTGAGTTTTTTTTTTTTATAATTTTATTTATTTATTTTTCCCCCAAAGCCCCAGTAGATAGTTGTATGTCATAGCTGCACATCCTTCTAGTTGCTGTATGTGGGACGCGGCCTCAGCATGGCCAGAGAAGCAGTGCGTCTGTGCGCGCCCGGGATCCGAACCCAGGCCGCCTACATCGGAGCGCACGCACTTAACCGCTAAGCCACGGGGCCGGCCCTTGAGTTTCTTTTAATCTCTAAATTCTCCTTGCTTCCTCTTTATCATTTACTCATTGTAGACACTGGGTCATTTGTACTAAGGAGTTTCCCAAAGGCTGGGTTTTGCTGATTACATTCTAGTTGCATTCTTTAAAATGTTCCTGTGCGCCCAATAAACTAGTAATTAGATCTAGATAATTGATCAGATTCAGATTCAATTGTTTTTAGTAGCATTCCTCACAGGCAGTATCGTGTACTTCTTACTGCATCATATTAAGAGGCACATAAAGTCTGACTATCTCTCTCTCTCTTTTTAATGTTAAGATCGATCAGTAGGTTCAAGTAATGTTAGCCACATTCATCCACAATAAAGTTCTCCATTTGCCTGTCACCTAATGGTATTAGGGGCCCATGCCTAAAGGATTAGGAGAAGTTAGCCAGGCAGAAAGTTGGCTGGGATGAGGACATTTTGAATACAATGAACATGTGCAAAAGCAGAGAAGAGTGAAATAGCATAGTGTGTTCAAAGAACCATAGATACTTTGGTGTGGCTGGAATATAAGGTATGAGAGAAGTGTGGGAGAAAAGTTGAGGCTGGTGAGGGTTTCCCAGATCAAGAAGTGTCTTGAAAGCCATGCTAAGGATTTTTAACTATCTTCAAGTAAAAGGGTAGGAACTGAAGGATATTTATTAAGCAAGGAAATTACATAATTTTATTTGTCTTATAGAAAGTCCAGCTGAAGGTAAGAGGATCAGTTGAGGGGTTACTTCAATAGTGCAGAAAACAAATGAGGGGATTCTAAAATAGGGCATTTACAGGGAGAATTCAGAGATTTCTGAGGTAAAATTGGTGAATAATGAACTGCTAGGGTAAGAAGGAAGTTTAGGATAATTCTTAAGTAATTTGGTAGTTGACTGAATGACAAAGTTTGGAATAAGCATGGCACATTTCTGGCAGACTTAAAGAGAACAAATGTACAGTAAAATTTAACAAGTGGAGGCAGGACAAAATTCCACAAAATTTTGGAAGCCAGGCAGAGAGTTTGAGTCAGTGAGTTACAGAGAAGCACTGAGGGTTCTTTAGCATGGTGACATGATAAAAAGCACATATTAGGAAGAAAAGTTAATAGCAATATGCACATTATAGTTGGGGGTTGGTGAAAGACTGCTAGAAATTTTCTGGAGTAATTTAGGCATAAAGCAAAAAGTGCCTATGTGATAAAGAAAAAAAGAACCAAATCTGATAGACTAGAAGAAATAGGGCATGTAAGGAGAAAAAATAGTTATAGATGATTCAAGGTTTGAAATCTAGGAGGCCAGAAGAATAGTGGCAACACTAATAGAAATGGAGTGGCTGGAGGGAGGGCAATTTAAGAGAGAGAAAGATGCTGTGTTTTGAATATATTAAGTTTGAAATAACAAGATATTGAAGTGAGTATGTCCTGAGTACAGCTGGAAATGGAAGAATGAGGCTACAATCCAAGGTAGAAGCCAAGTATAAAGATACAGATTTGAAAATCATCAGTAAAATGATAGTGGATGCCACAAAAGTAAATGTTGCAAAGGAGTAAAGTGCCGTAGACTATGTCTTGGGGGGCATACCTGTAGAAATTTGGCGGGAAGAGAAAGACAAAGCAATAAAGGTGATAAAATGGAGTTATTTTTAGAATGTAAACTTCTTGAGGTGAGAATTCAGGTCTACTCATCTTTGATCCCAGTGCCTGCCACAGAATAACCACTCCCTAGTGTCTGTGAAATGAGTGAGTCGTCATTGAGGGAAGAAAGGAACTAGGAAAGAACCATCTCAAACAAACTAAGGGATGAAAGGGAGTTAACAGTTGTAGAGCATCCACTCTGCCAACTGGAATCCTTTTGACCAGAGGTTCCCAAACTTTCTTGCTTCATGGCACCCTTAAGATCTAGGTGATTTTTTATGGCACCCCTAGGCCAAAAGAAATACCAACCATTCTGTTAGGTCCAAAATGACTTAGGGCCAGCCCTGTGGCTTAGTGGTTAAGTGCGCGCACTCCGCTGCTGGCGAACCGGGTTTGGATCCCGGGCGCGCACTGACGCACTGCTTCTCTGGCCATGCTGAGGCCGTGTCCCACATACAGCAACTAGAAGGATGTGCAACTATGACATACAACTATCTATCTACTGGGGCTTTTGGGGGAAAAATAAATAAAATTATAAAAAAAAAGAAAAAAAAACCAAAATGACTTAATAAGTATTTATGTTCTAACAACTTCATAGGCCCATGAAAAAATAGCACACCTAAATTGAAAGAATATATTTGTATTTCATTCTTATTAATTACAATTACTTCCTAATGGCATATGTGCACCTACTGGATAGTACACAACTTCTCAAACCTTGGAATCAGACTGAACATTGCCACTCTCACTTCCTCCACATTGATTTTCATGTGATGCATGCTTTTTATCACAACACTGAAAACCCAGCTCCACAAAGACATGACATCATCAAAAGGAAAGTAATGCAATCTAACGTTGAAACTATGAACTACTTTGACCTGTACTTCATGTGGTGTCCAAAAGATGTTGACTGTTTTGTGTTTCACTTATAAAATTTTAAATATTGTGTAGTGCCCTTGTGAGTTCACTGCAGAGCCCCAGGGAGCCTGGGTGGACAGTTTGGGAACTGTGGTTTTAAACTACTAAGAGGAAAGGATTTCAAGGAATAGTAGTCAACAGTGCAGATACTAAAGAGGATAAGAATATTTTTAAAAGTCATTGGTTTTGCCGGGAGGAAGAGCCTTCAGGTAACCTTTGACATTAAAGTTTAGCAGAATGGCAATAAAAGAAGTCAGATTGCAGGGAGTTAAGAAGGGAATGAATACACTGAAACAGAAGGGAGTAAGAGCAAGAATCTGGTAATAAACGGGGGAAGAAAGAGTAGAGGAATACTTGAAGGGATAGCAAATCACACAAAGTATTTGGCTTTTTTTTTTTAATAAAGCTTCAGTGCATGGTTGTATATCCTAGTTGTTAGTTTAGTTCTCTGTGTGAGCCGCCACCACAGTATGACAACTGACTGACAGGTGGTGGGGTTCCACGACCGGGAAATGAACCCAGGCCATGGTGATGAGAACGCCGAACTTTAACCACTAGACCACCCAAGCTGGCTCAGGATTTTTTTAAGATGAGGAGAAATGAACATAGTTTAAGGTGAGACTAAAGGAGTTAATGGATAGAAAGGGATTGAAGAGAATGACCTCACAAGTATTAAAAGGGGGAGAAAAAAGAGATGGGATTCAGATTATGGCTATATATCTGTTTTAGAGTAATAAACTCCTCTTCCAAGACTGAAGAATAGTGATCTTTTTTTTTCTTGGTGAGGAAGATTTACTCTGAGTTAACATCTGTTGCCAATCTTCCTCTTCTTTTGCTTGAGGAAGACCAGCCCAGAGCTAAAATCCGTGCCAGCCTTCCTCTATTTCGTATGTGGGATGCCGCCACAGCATGGCTTGATGAGCGGTGCGTAGGTCCATGCCCGGAATCCAAACTTGCGAACCCTGGACTGCCAAAGCAGAGTGTACGAACCATAGTGCCACTGGGCTGGCCCCAAAAAATAATGATATTTTGAGCCTACTGTGGAATTGCCTCAATTTTCTCTATAGAGCAGAGTGCGACAGAAAGAGTAAACAAAGAGGAAATACCAGGGTATGAAGGAGAAGGAGAAGGGATGGAATAAGCACTGTGGAACATTTACAAGACCCGGGCAGAAGAAATAAATAATGGGCCATGGAACACTAGAAACATTTATATATTTACTATACACATAAAAGTAGATATTGTTTCATACTTAATGCCTATAATATTTAGAGCATAGTCCAGAATGCTCATTTATTTATTGGCTCTTTGAAAATATAAAAAATGTTAAACTTATAGATGGTATTAATTGTGACAAAAAGAGAATAAAGTAATAAAAAAAAGTATTAGCTGTGTTGATTCATATAAACAAACATTGGGAGCACAGGCTAATGCAGATAGATGGTATTAATTTTTTTTTTTTTTAATAATTTCATTTATTTATTTTTTTCCCCCCAAAGCCCCAGTAGATAGTTGTATGTCATAGCTGCACATCCTTCTAGTTGCTGTATGTGGGATGCGGCCTCAGCATGGCCGGAGAAGCGGTGCGTCGGTGCGTGCCTGGGATCCGAACCCGGGCCGCCAGCAGCGGAGCGCATGCACCTAACCGCTAAGCCACGGGGCCGGCCCAAGATGGTATTAATTTGAATGTTTTATGATAATCCTGCTGGTTACCTCTCCAAAGGAAATGAAGTTTAAATCACACAGGTAGAACTACTACAAATTCTAGTTAACTAATATCATATAAAGCTTTAATTATGAAACAACTGCAATTAAAAAAATATTTACCTGGGCATCTATACTTCAACATTTTGGAACAATTGTTGGTTGCTAGAAAACTGATGACTTCTTTATTTATTATATCTGAGCATAATGTAAATGGATCTAGGAAAAAAATGGCAAAATGCAGGATTTTTTTTGATTAATGAAAAGGACCTGACATTTACAAGAATTTTTTTTTTTTTGAGGAAGATTGGCCCTGCACTAACACGTGTTACCAATCTTCCTTTTTTTTTTCTCCCCAAAGCCCCAGTACATAGTTGTATATCACAGTTGTAGAGTTGCAGCTCTTCTATATGGGATGCTGCTCCAGCATGGCTTGATGAGCCGTGAGTAGGTCTGCGCCCAGGATCTGAACCGGTGAACCCCGGGCCGCCAAAGAGCCACACGCAAACTTAACCACTGTGAAACCAGGATAGGCCCACAAGATTTATTAATTCTCAAAACTTTCATAAACTTTAGCCCAGCACTACACATCCAGTCATCCTCGTGGATAAACAGAAAGTTCCAGGTATCAATAAAAGGTGACTGCGGCACTTATACTGGAAACAGAGGCGTGGTTTATGTGTTAGAGGGCAAATATACCAATGTACACTTTTAGCTATATTAGTCACCTCTATTAGTCAAAGAAGAAACATTTAAAATCATACCTGTTACTGGTAACTGCTGCTTTCTATTTTTGACAATGGGAGTTGGATGTTTAAAAACATGGTTGCTAAAAGAAAATAGACACCAGATTACTAAAATTAAACATACTGTTTGGTATGTGGACAAATGTTTCTGTAAGCAGTGGTGTGATTCTGGACGTCTGGCAGGCAGAAGGAGATGGAGCCAGGACCTACCAAAACCTACCAAATTCTGCCAAAGTAGGGTCTGCAACCGTTATAGCCTCATTTCCAAAAGTGGAGTTAAACAAGACTCTAGAGGGTGATAATATTGATGCTAGTAGAAACATGGAAGAAAAAAGTTATTAAAAAAAAAAAAGGAAAACAGGAAGGAAGGAGGGCAAAAAAAGGAGAGAAGAAAATCAGTGGGCCAGAGAGTAAGAAGGCTGGCCCAAGAGCATATCTCACTGCTTCCCAATTCCACATCCTTGAGAAATCAAGCTAAAATTAACATCAAGAATGGTTTTAAAAAGTAAAAAAGGGGTGGTGATGATGCAATCCATCTTCCTAATACTTAGTTCACCCTACAACCTTCCCAGAATGTAGCAGCATCCTCTTCAGTTTCCCTCCTAGCATAGTAACCATCAGAAGAGCAGAACACAAGAAAGGGTCTAAGAAGAAAAGCTACAATCCCAGGTCCAGCCCCACAGGCTACCTGTGAACAAACATAAAGTGTTTGTTCAATAAATATTTTTAGAAAAATAAATTTCAGTGGAGGGCATAAAAGATAGGCTTTTCATCTAGTTTATAAATTAAAGCAGGACAGACTATTAAAAAAGTTACATTTTGTAATGCAGTAGGATTTTTGAGGGCTTAATACAACATAAAATACTATTTATATTACAAGGTACAAATAGTCATTTTAACTCATAATGAAGTAAAAAAACACTTAAAATGCAATCATAGTTTCCTTTTTCTAATATAGAATTACTAAATAATATAAAATTTAAAGTTCCTCAAATAAACACAAAAGAGCTGGTTGTTAACACCCATCACACAAGTCATATTGTGAAAATAAACAATCAACAGATATTCTTATGGCTAATTCTGAGGGAGAAAGGACATGTGCTGGAGGGGTGGTGCAGGGAAAAAATGAGAAGGCAAGCCTAAACCAGATTTTCATCACACCCTACTGCCTTTTATCATATTAAACTTGCAAACTGGTTTTTGCTACATTGCTGATGGATTATCAATGCATGCATTCCTAATTCAGGTATAGGGTTTCAGTTTAAGTTTTCTGAGTATCCTTTCTAAAATTCAAATCTGATGATGTCACTCAATTTAAAATTGTCAATGGCTCCCTATACTCTCTGAGTTAAAACCGAAAATCCTGAATATGAAATGCAAGGCACTAGATGAACTGGCCCGTACCTCCCCATCAGAACCCCTTTCCCAACATTTCCTACTTTAGGCTCCTCTCAAGAGTATGTTTCATCATTTCTATATCCCAGTGCTTAACAGTATGGCATATAGAACTGAACAAAAAAAATTTGCTGAATAAATAAATAAAACAATTATTCGACTATACCTTGATTGAGAAACAAAATTCTTTTTTTCAAAAGTTATTTCTTCATGTAAGTTTTGACTGCAGCTTGAATTGGCTTTACATAAAGTCTTATTTTGCCCACTCTCCCTATAACAAGCATTAACTGGATTTGCATTCTTTAACAGGGTCTTCATTTGGTCATCATTTGTACATGTTTGAGACATGACTCCAGGGGACTTATAACTCTGAAGCCTTCTAGACTGGCTTTTATCCTTATCTTCTGCTTTGGGACCTCCACCAATACTATCGGCATGGAGGTGTTTCAATGTATTTTGAATATTTATGTTCACAGATGAAATATTATCCTTATATTTTTCTCTTTGTATTTCTTCCTGTAATGTAAAAATGACAAGTAAATAATTTCAAGATAATCTATTTGCTTTATAATCCAATTTACACCCCCTTTAAATAACGCAGAAAAAGTTTATGATTGTCAGTAGAATATACGTGATAAAAGGGGCAGTTTATATTAGGAAGAAAAGGGAGTTTATTCAATAAATGATTTGGGGACAACTGGGTAGCCATCTGCGGAAAAAAATAAATTGGATCTGTATCTCACAATTTACACAAAACTCAAACTAAATATAAAAAATTGAAATTATATATGTTCTAAAAGAAACCATGACATTTTAATATTCTCAAAGGAGGAAGACCTTTCCAAGTATTACATAAAATCAATAAATCATAAAAGGAAAAAGCTAATATAGTTTATCACATAAAATTGTTTTTATTTTTTATTTTTTTCAATTTTATTTATTTATTTTTTTCCCCCAAAGTCCCAGTAGATAGCTGTACATCATAGTTTCACATCCTTCTAGTTGCTGTATGTGGGATGTGGCCTCAGCATGGCCGGAGAGGCAGTGCGTCGGTGCACGCCCGGGATCCGAACCCGGGCCGCCAGCAGCGGAGTGCACGCACCTAACCACTAAGCCACGGGGCCAGCCCTAAAATTGTTTTTAAAGTTCTGCTACATTGGGCAAAAAAATAAATAAATAAATAAAATTATAAAGTTCTGCTACAGACCAAGAACAATATGGCGGGGAGGGACTAAGAGGGAAAAAGGGACAGAAGCAAAACCAAATGATAATCAAAACACCTAGAAAAAATATATATAAGTCATATCTTGGGCCACAGTACAATTTTTCTAATAATGTTTATAAAAAGCTACTACAATGAAATATGAAAAAGATCAACAATAGTGTAGAAACACAGACAAAGGAGATGAACAGTTCACAGGAAAGGAAATATAAATAGCTCTTAACACATGAAAAAATGCTCCATGCCACTTGTAATAAGAGAAATCAACATTAAAGCTACACTGAGATATCTTTCTTCATCTATGACATCAGCAAAGATCAAAAGGGTATAAGGGAAACACTCTCATACATTATGAGTGGGAGTGTAAATTGATACAACCTCTATGGAGAAACAACTTGACAGTATCTTTCATAATAAAAATTATGCATATCTTTTTAAAAAATCCTAGATATACTTTTACATATGCAAAATGTTAATGTTATTAACTGCAGCATTGTTTCTAATCATTAAAGGTTGGAGATAACCTCAATGTTCATCAGAAAGGGAGCTAGCATATCCATACAATGGAATACTCTGTAATTATGAAAAAAAAGAATAAAGTGGGCTTCCAGGTAAAGATGATGAATTTAACATCCATATTTATTTTTGGTTCTTTCAAAAAACCAACTAGAACAACAGTTTTTAAAAAGGCATAAACCCATAAGTACAAGGAGAAATGGAAGAAGAAATAAAGGCAACAAAATTTTGGAAACTGGAAAGCAGATAGATGAATGATAACCTACTTAGCCGACTTGACAAAGCTGAATCCAAAGCTGGCAATGGGAAAAGCCCAGAAACTACCTAAGATATGCTACAAAATTCTCAAAAGCCTTAGTAATTGGTGGTAGCAGGAACCTCTAGAAGGTGAAGTGAAGGTGGTGTTAAAAATAGGAAGATTGAATGAAAGTCTGTTTAAGAATTAGTTGGATTACTAGATCCCAACTCGCACATACACATACTTAGCAGGCAGTTGAATGACACCAGAAGGTCTCCTCCTTCCCCAAGGCTGGAAGTTCAATCTCTGGAGGGGATAAAATAGTCTCTGCACTAGAGGATGCCAAGCAAAGCTGAAAGCAGAATACTACCAAGAAAAAAAGACTAAGCAAATCGTATGTAAATACATACGAAATGTATGTAAATACATACAAAATACTAAGACCTCCAACTCTTCCCCCATTTGATTCCAGAACACTGGCTGACAATCTCTAGGCAGATTAGACATTGGAGGTTCTCCAAAAAAGGGACTTACCTAATTCATCCTATAAGAATCCACAACAAATTTCCAAGGAGACTTTTAGTGTCTGAGTCTTAAATCTGAGCAGCAACCAATGACCACTAGAAATCTGAAGAAAGACCAAGAAAGAAAGAAAGAAAAAAAAAAAACTCAGAGGAGAAAGACAGGGTAGGAAGAAAAAAACTTTAAAAATGAAAACTATCATTATATATTTAAGTGAAGAAAGAGAATATTTAAGAGAAGAATCTTAAGTCCATGAAATAAAATAATTTAAAGGGAGTGAAAAAGAGGCTTTGGTAACTAAAAAGGATAGAAGTAAAAAACGCAATAGATTAGTTTAAAAAGTACATATGAACACATTTCCCAGAATGGAGAACAAAAAAGACAAAGAGGAAAATAAGAGAGAAATGATAAGAAGGAGGACTGGCTCAAGAAGTGCAACAAATAAATTACAGGAGTTTCAGAAAAGGAGCAAAGAGAAAACAGAGAAGAAATCAGCACAGCATAATGCAAGAAACTTTCCTAGCACTGAAGGATACGAGTTACCAGAGTGAAAGGGCCCACTAAGTGTACAACATAATGGATAAAGAGACTGACACCATGGTACCTCAGCGTGAAATTTCAAAAGATTGGGAATAAAGATTACTCAAGCTTCCAAAGAGAGAAAACAGGTCACACCAAAGGATCAGAATGACTTTGGACCTCAAGAGTAACACTGGAAGCTATAAGACCGTGAAGCAACACATTTAATATACTGAGGGAAGGTGATTTCCAATCTAGAATACTTTGTCCAACCAAACTATCAATTAATTCTGAAGGTAAAATAAAAATATTTTCATATTTGTAAGGTCTCAAAAAATTTAAATCCTATGTACCCTTTCTCAGAAAGCTACAGAAGAATGTATTCCACCAAAATGAGAGACTAAACCGAAAAAAGAGAAGATGACATGGGATCCAGGAAACAAGGAAGCAAACAAGGAAGGATACAAAGAGAATCTATAAGATGATGGTAAAGGAGTACCCCAGGTAACAGTTGTGTACCTGGCATAAAGGGTGTACCAGTTATTAATTTATTGCTTCTTAGCTCCAAACCCATCCTTCTTTGCCCTGCCTTATAAAACTGAAACTAGACTCCATGGATCACTATTCTATAGCTGGCTTGATGTTAGGCTCTGCTGTTAGAAAGTGCTAGAGGGCCAATACAAGGCTGGAAGAGAAAGAAGGGACTTTTTCTTCTTTTGGTGTTCTGTTGTTCTGAGTGATGGCAAGTGAATAGGCAGACGCACTATAAGAAATGTTAAAGGAGGTTCATAATTTCTTTAAAGTATAACTTCCCAGTGATTCCACTCGTAGGTATTTACCCAAGAGAAATGAAAATGTACATTTCACACAAAGAAGTGTATACCAATGTTCACAGCAACATTATTCATAGTAGCCAAGATCTGGAAGCAATCCAAATATCCATCAACTGGCGAACGAATAAACAAGTTGCGGTATGGCCTTACTATGGAATATTACTTAGCAGCAGAAAGGAATAAAATATTAATAAAACATTGGTGAATCTCAAAAACATTATGTTAAGTGAATTAAGTCAAACACAAAATATTATGTAATATATGATTCCATTTATGTAAAATTATAGAAAAGGAAAACTAGTGACAGAAAGCAGATCAGTGATTTCCTGGGCCTGAGGATGGGGAATGTACCTGTCTGCAAAGGGACATAAGAAAACATTTCAGGGTGAGTGAACTGTTCTATATCTTGATTGTCATGTTAGTTACACCACTGTATAAAATTATCATAACTCATCAAACTGTATACTTAAAATGTGTTATTATTATTGTATGTAAATAATACCTTAATAAAAAGTAAAATATTTCAGAAAAAAGATAACTGTTTAAAGCAAAAATAATAACATTACTGGGCAGTTTGCAACAAATGTGGCAGTAAAATGTATGGCAACAATGGCACAAAAAACAAAGGGAAATGTAAGCATACTATTATAAGGGTCTTATAACATACATGAAGTGTAATAATATTATTTGAATATAGACCATGATAAGTTAAAGATGTATATTATAAACCTTAAAGCAGTGACTAAAAAAAAACAAGAATGTTTAGCCAATAAGCTAAGATGAGATATAATAGAATATCTTAAAATAATATAAAAGAAGGCAGGAAAGTAGGAAAAAAGGACAAAGAATAAATGGGACAAATAGGAAACAAGTAGCCATACGGTAGACTTAAACCCAAACACACCAGTAATTACATTAAACATAAATAGAGTGATCACATCAATTAAAAGGCAGAAATTGTCAGACAGGATAAAAAAAGACCAAACTAGATGCTGTCTACAAGAAACCCATGCTAACTATAAAGACATAGGTTACAGGTAAAAGAAGAGTTCCATCAACTGATGAATGGATAAACAAAATACGGTATATCCATACAACGGAAAATTATTTGGCCATAAAAAGGAATGAAGTACTGATACATACTGTGGATGAGCCTTGAAAATATTATGCTAAGTAAAAGAAGCCAGGCACACAAGACCACATATTACATGATTCCATTCCTATGAAATGTCCAGAATAGGCAAATCTATAGAGAGTAGAGTAGTGGTTGCTTACGGCTGGGGTGAGGGGTACAGGGAAACATCTAAAGGTGTTTTTAAGGTGATGAAAATATTATAAAATCGACTTTAGTGCTAGTTGCACATATCTATGAATATACTAAATGCTACTGAAATGTACACTTTAAATGGGTGAATTGTATGTATGTGAAAGAAGCCAATAACAAAAGACCACATATTATATATAATTTATATAAAATGTACAGAATAGGCAAATATATAGAGACAGAAAATAGATGAGTGGTTGTCTCGGCTGAGGGGAGGTTGGATGGGAGGAATAGAGAGGGTGACCACTAAAGGGTATGCAGTTTCTTTTTGGGGTGATGAAAATGTTCTAAAATTGATTATGGTAATAGCTGCACAATTCTGTGCATATACTAAAAACTAATGAAACATATACTTTTATTGGGTAAATTGTACAGTATGTGAATTATATATCAATAAAGCTGTTACAACAACAACAAAAATATATATATAGGTAGCAGGATATTTACTCTAGAGTTATTTACATTGGTGAGAAATTGAATATAATCTAAATGTCCATCAATAAAGGACTAGTTAAATCAATTATGGTACATCTATGATATTGAATACTACTCAGTCATTTATTTATTTATTTCCTTTTTATTTTTGGTGAGGAAGATCAGCCCTGAGCTAACATCCGATGCTAATCCTCCTCTTTTTTTTTGCTGAGGAAGACTGGCCCTGGGCTAACATCTGTGCCCATCTTCCTCTACTTTATATGGGACGCCGCCACAGCACAGCTTGACAAGCAGTGTCGGTATGCACCCGGGACCCAAACCTGCGAACCCCAGGCCTCTGAAGCGGAGTGCATGCACTTAACTGCTGTGCCATCAGGCTGGCCCCTCAGTCATTTAAAAGAATGAAATTACTATACTACACTAAGTTGGACACTATGTTTTTATTTTTAAAAATACATGCACATATGAAGACACAAAGCATACATACATAGAAAAAATATGGATATGTGTGTATAATACATACATACATACATATATATAGGGAGAGAGAGAAAGAGAGAAAAATTATTAATTCTCCATCCTTTCTCTCTCGAACACCTATTATACAGATATTAGATCTCCTGGCTCTACCTTCCATGTCTCTTATTTTTTCAGTCGTCATTTCCACTTTTTTTTTTTTTTTTTTTAAGATTTTATTTTTATTTATTTTTTCCCCCCAAAGCCCCAGTAGATAGTTGTATGTAATAGCTGCACATCCTTCTAGTTGCTGTATGTGGGACGCGGCCTCAGCATAGCCGGAGAAGTGGCGTGTCGGTGCGCGCCCAGGATCCGAACCCGGGCCGCCAGCAGCAGAGCGCGAGCACTTAACCACTAAGCCACGGGGCCGGCCCTCCACTTTTTAAAAATCTTTTTTTCTATGTTCAAGGATGATTCTTCAAGTATTACTATTGAATTTTAATTTTAAACCCATTCAAATAAAAAAAAGTAACTTGGCAAGAAAAATTTTTACCCTCCAACCTCTATTGTTAAAAAATATTTGAGGGGCCGGCCCTGTGGTACAGGCAGTTAAGTGCGCGCGCTCCGCTGCGGCGGCCTGGGGTTTGCCAGTCCGGATCCCGGGTGCACACCAATGCACTGCTTGGAAAGCCATACTGTGGCAGTGTCCCATATAAAGTGGAGGAAGATGGGCACAGATGTTAGCCCAGGGCCAGTCTTCCTCAGCAAAAAAAGAGGAGGAGTGGCAGATGTTAGCACAGGACTGATCTCCTCACAAAAAAGAAAAAAAAAAATTTGAAAAAAGTTCTACATTCTTTGAAACAAAGAAGCCAACCTCATTTCCTTCTCTTTCAAGCTGTTCTATTCTGTGTAGAATTTCCTTTGCTTTCTTCCAGTGCTCTTCAAGATTCTTCTCTTTCACATTTACGTCCTTTAATTGTTCTGTTTCATTTTCATCAAAAGAATATTCTCCTAGACTTAGAGATAATTTCTCAGCTTTGTAATATGGGAAAAAAAGAGTGAGTTATCCATTACTAGAAATGTTATTTTAACACTTTAAATAAGGACAACCTCAAAGCTCACACCTTCTTCTCTAAATTTTTCCCAGCTAGACTATCTTAACTGCCTAAGTGGTACTGAAAATAAGTGGAAAGCAAGTGCTTGGCAGAGGCCCAGGACCCAAACAGTCATAAATTAGACTTTACTCTTCAGAGTTATAGGAAAAAGAAGAGCATGAAAATACGTTATGCCAGATACATAAATACCCACAGGTGTATGGATACTGGTTTTAAAGAAGTTCTAAAACAAAAACAAACAGTTTTCATAAAGCAGTTCCTTCCTGTAATCTTTTTTTTTTTTAATTTTTTATTTATTAATTTTTTTTCCCCCAAAGCCCCCGTAGATAGTTGTATGTCATAGCTGCACATCCTTCCAGTTGCTGTATGTGGGACACGGCCCCAGCATGGCCGGAGAAGCGATGGGTCGGTGCGCGCCCTGGATCCAAACCCGGGCTGCCAGCAGCGGAGCGCACGCACTTAACCGCTAAGCCATGGGGCTGGCCCCCTATAATCTTTTAAATTCTCTTTTCAGATATTGTGGCAGCAATTTTTCTTACACAAAGACCAAAATCCTTTTTATGGCCACTGCCCTCTGTGCTCCACACACACTGGCCATCGATTCCTTCAATGCATCAGGCTCCCTCCTATCACAATGCCTTTGTGCCTCACTGTTGCTTATGCCTGAGACACTCGTCCATAACAAATTCCCTTCTTTTCACCTAATTAACTCTAATCAGATCTTGGCTCAAGAATCACTTCCTCCCCACGCCTTTTCTGCTCCAAGTCTAGGTCAGATTCCTTTGTTACAAGCTAAGATCTGTGCTACATCCCTTCACAATTCTTATATTAATTTATAATAATACATTCATTTCTGAGATTATTCAATTACTGTCTATTTCTCTAGTTAAACTAAGCTCTAAGAGTGCACAGACTGTTGTTTCTTACCACTGTATCCCTAATGCCTAGCCCAGTGCCTGGCAAGTAATAGGCATTCAAACATATTTTAAATAAATAAATGAAGGTACTTTATATTATGATTTAATCATAAAGCACCCTTAGCCCTCAAATTTAAGTCCTACAACTAAATTTGTCCACATTGCATGAATAAGTGAATTATTTATACTGTTGCTCTCTTCCATATAGGTTTTTTATATGCTGAAATACTCCAGCTGTCATGTCCAAATTATATACTCTGCTTCTCAAATGTAAGAAGATCCTGGGAGGTAAAGGGACTTGGCCCATCAAAGCAGATATAAATTACCCTTTATAAACTTTTGCTGGTATTTTCTTTTTTTTTTTTTTAAAGATTTTATTTATTCAGTTTTTTCCCCCCAAAGCCCCAGTAGATAGTTGTATGTCATAGGTTCACATCCTTCTAGTTGCTGTA